TGATTTGAAAAATAGTGACAAAATATTTAGACCCTCTCAACTATTAATTTTGATATAAACTATACCCAAAAACGTATTTTCTTCTGTGTTGTGAAAATTCTCAATTTATCAGTCACATCATTAATAGATCTTGCTTGTAAATAATTCCCAAATGTGAAGTGTTTTAAGCCATTTATTCCTTTAAAATAAAAAATATGTTAATGATTATACAACTTCCCCATACTTTCCTACGGTAGTAAATTCTTATGACCAAGAAATAAGAAGTGTCTCCCTTACAATAATAAGTGTTTCAAAGTAAAGGCTTGAAGTTATATTTTATTAGACTAAGATCTAGCAACAAATTTAAAAAGCAAATGAATGTTATATGGAAAACATAAAGGGTAGAAAGGTCAAAGTACAAGGCTCTACCCCAAATGTCTTCAGTTGTCAAAAACATTTTTCCATTTAATTTTTAAAAATGGGATTTTCATTCAAAGGAAGGAAGGACAGAATCAGAGAAGAATCTTTAATAGCTTAAAATCATTGCCATCTAAATCTTGCCATCTTCTTCCACAATTCAAGGGAAAAGACATCTAATACAAACTCAAGAAGCTTGAGGGAAACCTATTTTTCCCAAAAGAATAAATTAGAAGTGGTTTTATATCAGCTCTGGGTGCTAATATTATAAATAATGACTCAAATTCATAAGTGATTAAAAACAAAATAAAATATGCTACCTAAACCTTACTTCTCCAATTCTGTTCACATTAAAAATCACCAAACACTATTATATACCAAGAACCACCAAACTATTCATAATTCCTTGACCTACTTCCTTAAATACATTCTAAGAAAATTATTAACAGAGGGAAATCTATAGGTATGAAAAATATGATTCACTATACTGGAAAAATATCCAACCACCAACAGAAGTTTTTTGTGTTTTTTTAAATTTACCGATATTTATTTTCTACTCTAATTCATTCCTTCATTTCACAAAGAATTTGAAATAGCTTACAAGAACATATAATTATTCATTATATATGTATAAAATGTGGATCAAGGAAAAAAACAATTTAAATATGCTAGTCGGGAAAGATCCAAACCAGTCATTATGTTTGCACTTCTAAGTTTCTTCTGAGTTTATGAGAAGCAAACATAAAAAAAAAAAAAAAGTAGCCATTAACTAATTCTCATTAGAGGAAAGAAGAAAACAGTTCCTCAGGGAAAACAAAATTGTTAATAGATGGCACAGCTTCTGGATGACAGATGTAGTCAGACATTTTTAAAAATTAGTTATTTACTACATAGTCAATAATATTGGAATAACTATGAGTGGTGTCAGATGGGTACTAGACTTATTGGGGTGATCACTTATATCATAAGTTATATAAATGTCTATAATTAATATAATATTGTATGTTAACTGTAATTGAAAAGTTAATTTAAAAAATAATAGTAATAAAGATTATACAACAAAGAAAACATGATGTTAAGGAAAAGATACAAAATTATATATATACTCCAACTATAGTGACATAAAAACATGGTACATATGGAAAAAAGACTAGGTCATAAACATAACCCCCACCCCCCCCACACACACCAAAAAACTCCTATAATTCTTTGACTGCAATGATCATATCATATTCTTCTGTACCACAACCATACCTAGGCTGAATGTCAGGCATACAATAGTAGTTTAATATTTTTAACTGTATTAAAATGTCAATATTTACTTGATTCATTTAAGATAATTTGGTTTATAAGATAGAAATACTCAATATACAACAGAACTAATGACTATAAAGTAGTTTCTGATGAAGAACCCATTCTTGCCACACTATGAATGGCAAGGCTGAACATAGACTCCTTACACAGTTGAAATGCACCAACAGGTCTTTCTCAATCCACAACTTCCTTATTCCACTCCATATGTATTTCAGATTCTTCCTCAAGGTTCACAAGATGTTAACTACCAAGAAGTGTCGCTGTTACTCCCAGATAAGAAATAATACACAGCATTTTTGGAAAAAACAAAATATTTCTTACAAAGTTCAAATTTTGAAAAGAGAGCAACCAGAAATCTCCAAAATCAAACGTGACCACAAAATTTTTATGGACTCAACTTCTCGACACTGTGAAATCATGACAATCTGATAGATTCCATACTATCAAAGGCTGTAAAATATGTCTTTTAATTCAGTTTCTATTTCTTGACATTTTCTTGCTTCTTAAATAGCAAGTAACTACAACCAAAATTTCCCCTTTTAACATAGGAAGTGGTCTTCAAAGCAGAACTTGGACTTTTATTGTGGCTATTTTTTAAAAGGGATATGTGCCCTAAAACACATTAGCCAGAATTGGCAGCTGTTTAAAATTAAAGACTCTAACATGTTATATAAAGATAAACATGAAAATTAGACAAAATACTATTATCATATGGTACTCAAAATATGGCACTAACCAGAAAATCCATCCCTCCTCTACTACAGGTATCATCATCAGTAATTTCTGTGACCTTAAATAAGTGCTTGTTTATTATTTATTTATTTATTATTTAAAGAATAGTTTTTATTGCTTTTTAGAGAGATAGGAAGAGAGCCTGCTGGGTCCTAGGCTCCTCCCCTTTGCCCATCTTGGGCTCCCAGGATGTCCTCTGGGGTTCAGTCCCTTTCGTGATGTTCTGTCCTTATTGTATCTCTGCTGGGAAGCAAACTGGGGTGTCAGGCTGAGGACCAGCATAACTCAGGGGAATGGGGCCATTGCTAGATATTCATGGGATTGCAGGAGGCTGTTTTGTAGCCACAACCAACTGCAATGTCTTGACAGCGGTGTCCACCAGCATCTGCGATGGGCACACATCTGCAAACATGCACGGATAGTTCTGGCTATCCTGGAGTCCCATGATCTTGTTCTCCCCTTTCTCCTCATTGTCCTCAGTTCCTGGCCTTCCCCTTTTCTTTTTTTAATATGCTTTTATTTGATTTTAGAGAGAGGAAGGGAGAGGGAGCGAGATAGAAACATCAGTGATGAGAGTCATTGATCAGCTGCCTCCTGCACGCCCCTTACTGAGGATAGAGCCCAAAACCTGGGCATGTGCCCTGACCAGGAATCAAACAGAGACCTCCTGGTTCACAGATTGATGCTCAACCACTAAGCCATGCCAGCTGGGCAAAGATACCTTATGTTTGAAAATTACTTTGAATTAAAATAGAAAACAGTAATCAGTACTTTTGAGAGAGAAATGAGAGAATGGATACCACAGAACATGACAGTTCCAAAAAAGGTAGATAGGATTCACTGTACTGAATAACAAATCTTAATTAAGAGACTACTATATTTTGTTTACATTTATGAGAAAGGAACAGGAAGTAGGTTTTTAAATTTTTAGAAATAAAAAAGATGAAGTATATGTGAAGAAATTAGTTCATTCCATTTGGTTACTTTTGTAAAAAAAGCAGTAGTATCTCCTTTGAATGTAAGAGAGATGTTTTAGTATCAAAACTGCAATTTCAATCAGATTAATTAATGCATAAAAGAATTCTAGACAAGGAGTTCCTTCCTTTCTAATTAAAAGTTCCTTATCCAAAACTTGGTACTCTTCAGAAGTTAAGAGGGAAATTTAATAGGTAAAATAATGAGAGGTTGGTTCTGTCACCCATGCCATTAGTGTTTGGTTCTAAACTACTACATAATACTTGATATGAAAGCACAATCAAGTTAGGATTAAATTATTTCCAATAGCACATTTTTCTTCTTCTTTGAACAGAAAATGCTCAACTCTTAAAATATACCAAAAGTTTATAATTGCCACTAGATGAGTGGTACTCACAGTATGTGACTCCAGGAGTGTTATTTGTTAGTGTGTGCACTGTGCAGTCCATCATACAGCTCTCTACCACCTCAAATTTCTACAGTAAAATCATAGAAATCATTCGATGTATTCAGTGTTAACAAAGGAAGGGTACAGCAGTCTAGGTATTTATAAGCCTAAAAACACAAAGACATGACACATGGCTTATTCTCTACCACTCTAGTTGGCTTCTGTTACCAAATATTCCTTGGTTCCCTTTTACGATATCTGCCTAACAGCCATGTGAGTTCTCCTTGAATTCTACGATGCCTGAACTCCAGATCCCCAGTGACTCTAGGGTTAACTATTAGGCTCTTCCAGAGTCCTAGAGGGTGCAGTCGGCTATCACACACACTCCAAGCCTGGTAGTGAAGGTTATCCATCCTGAATGCCAGTCCCTTAACAGCAGGTGTCACTATGTACCCTTAATGGGTGATGTGCAAATGGTAAGTGCTGGCCATCTCTTGCTGAGATGGAAAACTGGAGAGTACTCTGCCTGCCTGAATCAAACCTGAAAATAGGCCATGAAGCCTCTCCCCCATTTCTTTTTCTAATTTTGTCTTAATTAGGACCACTTTCATTAGCCAAAAAGGGGAAATCATCCTTGGGGTTTGAAACAGCAATTATTTTAAAATCAAGAATAGTATATAAAATTATATTAAAAATGAAATGATTCTGAAAAATGACAGTCTGTTCCCTTAAATGCCCTCAGTTTTCCACTAACAAGGAAAAAGAGAATTCAGTCATTTTTTTATACATACTTCAAAGCTAGAACTTTTCTTATATTTTTAAATCCCAAAACAATACAGAAACCAATGGAACTTTGTGTAGTTGATCAAAATGAGAAGAAATGATCTGCATGCACACACCCCAGAATCCTGCACAGTGGATCTAGCACAATGTTAACTATAAACAAAGGCTGAGAGCTAAATTGAAGAAGAGAGTGTTACAGATATTTCTGATTTAGTCATTTCTGCAGACATGGGTGCTACATAAAAATTTGAACAAAAAAAGAACTAAACTTAGCTCCCGGGTCTCAATCTTGAGTCTGGCATAACAATTCCAAGCATGTATTTGGAACCCTAGTCAAATGTCAGGATGAGTCATTGTACTATTAGAGCCTACTCTTTAATGTGTGCTTATGAAGAGAGGTCTTTTTACTTACTCTGGTCAGCATAGTTTTTTGCTTTTAGTTCAAGTTGTCTTGTTTGAGATTCTAAAGATTCCACTCGGGTCTGTAAATCCTTTTTTTCCTGTTCTTGAGAGTCTTCAAATTCAATGAATTTCTAATAAAAGAAATATTTATTATATTCATTAGAGAAATGAAAATTTTTAACATTATCAACTCCTGTGTTTCTTGGTATCAAGTATCACAATTAGGCATTAACTACTCAAAAAGATCTCAGAATCATGAACTTAGGTTGATTTTTTAGTTTCTCTATAAAAATTAAGTTTTAAAACCTCCAAATATAGAAGAAAAGGCTAACAAAATAATTTGTTTATGAAAAGTGTTTTCACATCATATAATAGACATTCAATAGGAAATTCATATATCCTACCCCAAAACAGAAAGAGCTTTACTAGTATACTTGCATACTCACCTGAGCTCAAGGTACAATTTTTATGTAATTTTGTACATAACATGTACAACAAATAGAGAACCAGAGGATGATGAAGTAGCAATAAATATTTGTTAAATGATTATTTGATTAATGGACAGTCTTCTATTACCTGAATCATGGAATTTAAATTCCTAAGAAAAAGAGCATGTGCTAGAAATATCTCCACCCAATTACTAAAACTGTTCTCATCAAGGACATTATCACTGAATGTAATCCTCAAATCTCAGTCCTCAGCTTAACCAGCACCTTCTGACAACTGATCACTCACTCCTCCCTAATCAAAACTTTTTTTTTTATTTGGCTTCCAGGACGTCTTTCCCTTTACTGGTTGTCATTCTTGGTTTTCTTTGTTGGTTCTTCCTCTTCTCCCCAGCTTAACATTGGCAGGCTCAGTTCTTGGACAACTTTTTCTCTTTGCTGTTTACTCTTACTTCCTGGTGATCTCATCTAGTTTCATGGCTTTAAATACTGACTATACGCTGACAACCTCCAAATTTCTAGCTTAATCTCTAGCCCAGTGATGAATTCCAGATGTGTATGTCCAACTGCCTACTGGACAACTTCATTTAAATGTCTAGTGAGCATCTTAAACTTGACATGTCAACACTTGTTCCTCCTCCTGGTCTCACTTAGCTTATTAAATTACTGTGGTCAATTGCTCAGGCCGAAACTTCGGAGTCAGCTTTGACTTTTCTCGTTTTCTAATACCTCATATCCAATCTATCAGCAGATCTACCTTCAGATCCAACCACCTTCCTCTTCTCCACCCCCAACCTGGGCTGTGCCAGCATTCATTATTTATTGTCTAGATTAGTTCAATAGCAATAGCCACCTAACTGGTTTCCTTCCACCCTGGCCCCTCTACAATGCATCCTCAATACCAGAGTTAGGGTGATCCTTTAAAAAGTAAGGCAGATCAGCCCCAGCTGGGTGGCTCAGTGGGTTGGAGCGTGGTCCCCTACACTGGGTTCGTTCCCAGTCAGGGCACATACCTAGGTTGCGGGTTCAATCCCTGGTGCAGGTGTGTGTGGGAGGCAGCTGGGGGTGTTTCTCTCTTCTTCTCTCTCCCCCTCAAATCAATGAAGCATATCCTCAGGTGAGGACTAAAAAAAAAAAAGTAAGGCGGGTGCAACAAATAACAAAAAGGCAGATCAGTTTACCCCTCTGCTCAAAATCCTCTGACCGCTTGCGCTCCCCCAAAGGCCTCTCGCCGCCTTCGGGACCAGCACAACGCACCGCCCTCTCACTGCTGACACGCCCCTGCAGCCCGAATCCCCGTCTCCACTCGGCTCAGGGGCTCACTCTCCCACCCCTGATGGTCCCTGTTCAAACGTCACCCTTTTACTAAGACTTTCCTTGCCCATCCTATTTAAAAATGTACTACCCACCCCCTGCTTTCCTCTATGTTTTTTTAATCTACAGCACTAATCCTCATGTAAAACAAAATACTGTATATTTTAGTAGTTTATCTTATTCTTGGCGTTGCCTCCCTAACCGTAGGCGCCACGAGGGCAGGGGTTTTGGGTTTTGTTTGCTGTCGCACGTCTCGTAGGAAGAATGCGGATAGCACATAGCGGGTGCTCGAATGTTTAAACAAATGAAAAAACACAGACTTCCAGAGTGAAAAACCGAAACCCACGCAGAAAAATGCAGAGTTCACAGAACAACACAGATATCACTAAATACACCTTAGTGTTCATAGGAATGTTTTGTCCCTCTGTCCTGAAGCTTCGGTCGCTGCGGCGGACGCTGTTCTGGCGCAGTGTCTGCCCTGAGGAGCTCTCCCGTTCCACCCTAACTGTCCCGTTCACGCCCTGCGAGGTGCGGGCTCCGTCTCCCAAGGCTGGGCACACGGCGTGGCCCCGGCTGGTCGGTCCTGGGGTGCCCGCCAGTTCTGAGGAAGAGTACTGCACACCTCCTGCCCTCTGGAGCCACAAACTCTAAGAACCCAGCAGGCGTAAGCTGCAGGCAGCCACCTTCCCCACAGAGAAAGAGCGTGCCTGAGGATAAAGACGACATGAAAGCAAACCAAGAGCAAGGGGAAATGAGACCCGAAATGAGGACACCATCTGAGGCCCACATTCGGCAGTTCCTGGAGCCAGCACTCCCAGGCCTTTTTTTTCTTTTTCAGTTACATACACCAATAAAGTCCCATTTTACTTAAGCTTGTTTGAGTGGGTTTTTATCATACGAAACTGAAAGCATCCTAAAATAATCATCTACTTTCCCTCAAGAGACATCTGACTTCCTTAAATCACTAACCAATGTTTTTCATATTTTCTTTCTTTTCTTTTTACTGATTTTAGAGAGAGGAACGGAGAGAAACATCGATGTGAGAGCGAAACATCAACCAACCGGGGATAGAACCCATAACCCGGGTGTGTGCCCTGACTGAAAATGAACCAGCCACCTTTCGGCGTTCGGGATGCCGCTCCAACCCACCGAGCCACACCAGCCAGCACTGTTTTTCTTATCTTTGAAGCTTGAAACCTACAACCTCGGAAACATTGGTTCTTTTTTAATAACTAAATTTACTGGAGTAACACTGGTTAATAACATTTACATACAACTTTCAGATACACAGCTTTATAACATCTATACAGTCTACTGCACGCTCACCACCCAATGCTCAGTCTCCTGTCACCATACAGTTGATCCCCTTACCCCCTTCATCTTCTCTGCATTCTTCTTTCCTCTGGGAACCTCTCTTCTATTGTCTGTATCTAAGAGTTTGGGGGGGCTGTTTGTTTTGTTTGTTCATTTGTTGCTTTTGTTTTAAATCCCACATATGAATGAAACCATATAGCTCTGGTCCTTTTCCGTCTGACTTATCTCACCTAGAATCATACTGTCAAGATCCATCCATCTGTCACAAATGGCAATATTTCATCTCTTCATGGCTAAGTAGTAGTCCACTGTATATGTATAGCACATCTTCTTTATCCAACCACCTATCAAAGGATACTTAGGTTGAAACACTGGTTCTTAATCATTTGGGAATTTGATACATCCATGAACCATGTTTCCCTGGAAAAAACATGCCCTTACCCACTCCAAACTATGCCTACTTTTCTCAAGGTCTCAGAGACCCCATAAGTCCTTCCACAAACCCCCATTTAGAACTCCTGCCCATACTTTTCTATGAAAATACTCCATATTTGTGAGGCTTCTTAGAAGCCTCAACCAACCATTGTTTACTTTTCCAGAATATTAATCTAAAGACGACTATATGTGGAAGGAGCAATGGATACAGTAAATATAAGAAAAGAGACAAAGTTGACAAATCTTTCAAACAAGTCATTCGTTTGTTCAAAAAATTTCTACGACTACTTACGATGTGTCAGGCATGTGGAACATGACTGTGAGCACCACACTATCCCTGCTTTCCAAGGGTGTTCACTGGCTACAAACTGAGTGCAGGCAGATAACATAAAGGTTCCATGGAACAGAAAAACAACAACCGTATGTTGCTAATGAAGTATGAGTAAATTACTTCAACATTTTTACCTGGGGATATAAGCAAAGACTAAGTATCAATAAGAAAATGTCATTATTTTTTGGCATGCTTTGAAAATGATGCTCCCTTGGCTTACTAAACTGCTTTATCTGGGTAACTAGAAATTCTGATTTTAGGTTTCTTTTGTGCTATTAATAAAATGTTGTTTTAAATAACAAAGAGCAGATGTTTACGAGTAACACAATGCTGTGCTACTAAACTCCTAACAAAAAACTTCACCACTAACAGGGGTAGGGAGCGGGGGTGGGGGAAATGGGTAAATGTGGTCAAAGGGTACCCATTTCTAGGTAGAAGATAAGTAAGTCTGGGGATGAAATGTCCAGCAGCACAAAAACTACAGTTAACATACTACTCTATTGTACGTGTGAAAGTTGCTGAGAAAGTAGATATAAAAGTTCTCACCACACAAAAAATTTGTAACTGAGCGAAGTAAAGAATGTGTTAACTAACCTTATTGTGGCAATCATTTTACACACTCTCTCTCTCTACATATATATATATGTAGATCTTTTACAATGTACATTATATACCTTAAATTTACACAATGTTATATGTCAATTATTTCTCAATAAAGCTGGGGGGAAAACAAATTTTACCACTCTTCTGCCTATTCAGAACACTTTTCTGACAGAGAGAGGAAACATCACACAGACACACAGCTTTATGTATGCTTGGTTTCTTGGCGACCCAGTTTGGCTACAGAAAGGCATGAATAATCCATAACTGTTCAACAGTCACTACTATATGCTTACTCTACAAGCATTACTTAGACCTACCTAGACAATTCAAGCTTCAAAATTTTTTGCATTTTCTTAGGATTACTGAGGCCTTATATCTATACTGATAACCTTAAGTAAATATGGCAAAAGAAAGATTTTCCCTGCCAAAATTGTGTGACAGTTCTTGGATGGGCAGAGCTATTTATCGCCAAATGGAAATCTCATCTCTGCAGTTTCCCTTCACAGGAAAGGACTAGCAATAATGAAAATATTCTATAGCAAACACATAATCCCAGGACTTTCCTTCCAGCAAATTAAAATATAAACTTACAGACTACAAAATGAATTGCCATTTCTCATAAGGGTATGTTTTTTTACTTTCTTATTCTAAATGGTGGATTTTAAGCTTTTTGGCATCATAAACTCCGAGAATCTTTGAAAATAGATTCTTTCCCAAGGAAGGTAAATATACGAAACACAAAACAATGCATTTATTTCAATGCAACTTCAAGTTCTATAAGAAATCAAGAATGATTTTCCCCCATTTATAAAATTGTAAATGTTGGTTTTTAAAAAACATTTTAAAAAAATTCCCTCTGCTCTTGAAAATCCCAATTTTAAATGTGTATTACAGCCCTAGCTGGTTAGGCTCAGTGGATAAAGCGTCGGCTCTTGCACTGAAGGGTTCCAGGTTCGATTTCGGCCAATGGCATGTACCTTGGTTGCAGCCTCGGGCCCCAGTTAGGACAAGTACAAGTAGACAACTGATCGATCTGTCTGTCTGCCTCTCTCTCCCCCCTCTTCCACTCTCTCTGAAAAGCAATGGAAAAACAATATTCTTGGGTGAGGATTTAAAAAAAAAAAAAAAAATGAAATGTGGACCAATTCCATTTCTATAGAAAGACTATACAGCATAGGGAATACAGTCAATAATATTCTTATAACTATGTATGGTGTCAGATGGGTATGAGATTTTTTGGGATGATGATTTAATAAGTTTTATAATGTCTAATCACTGGGGTGTACACCTAAAACTACTCTAATATTGTATGTCAACTGTAATTGAAAAAATGAAATGATAAAATTTTTTAAAAAGAGACTGTACAAATAGATTCATTTTATAGAATTTCCCCCCTATATTGTAAAGGTATTTACAACAAAGTTTCCATACAGTTAGGTTTCCTTTTGTTATTGTAATTTGCATATAACAATATTTCTGGGCAAAGTGAATACAATTCTGGAAGCTCTGCCCCAGCCAGAAGCAGACTGAAGAAAAAAGTACATGAATGCTCATAAGAAGCCTAAGGGTATCCATAATCCACTTAATGTGACTGAACTTTTTGCCAGTGGCTTAACTTTATAAAGTTGGGCACCCTCTAT